CCCCCCTGCACTTTGAACCAGTGTCCCCTAGTAATTGACCCCTCCACCCGGGGAAAAAACATCATAACTTCCACTCTATCCATGCCATTCACAATCTTATAAACTTCTATTAGGTCGCCTCTCGACCTTCTGTATTCCAGTGGAAACAAACCCAGTCTGCCCAACCTTTCTTCATAGCTAAACTCCTGCATACCAGGCAACATCCTGGTAAATGATTTCTGTACCCTCTCCAAAGCATCCACATCCCTCTGGTAGTGTGGTGACCAGAATGGTACACAATATTCCAAATGTGGCCTCACTAAAGTTCTATAAAGCTGCAGCATAACTTGTCTACCCTTATACTCAATGCCCCTTCCAATGAAGGCAAGCGTGCCATAAGCCTTTTTTACTGCCTTATCTAGCTGCACTACCACCTTCAGTGATCTGTGGACCTGCACACCCAGATCCCTCTGCATATCAACACTCCTCTAAGGGTTCTGCCATTCACTGTATAATTTCCACTTATACTTGACCTTCCAAAATGCATCACCTCACATTTGTCTGGATTAAACTCCACCTGCCATTTTTCTGTTTATGCCTCCAACTGATCTGTATCCTGTGACAATCCTCCTCACTAACTGCAACTCTACCAATCTTTGTATCGTCCGCAAACTTACTAATTAAACCAGCCATGTTTTCTTCCAAATCATTTACGTAGACCACAAACAGCAGAGGTCCCAGCACTAATCCCTGTGGAACGCCATTAGTCAGAGCCCTCCATTCCCAAAAGCATCCTTCCATCACTACCCTCTATCTCCTATGACTAACACAGTTTTGTATCCATCTTGCCAGCTCCTCCCTGATACCATGTGACTTCGTCTTTTGTACCAATCTGCCCTGAGGGACCTTGTCAAAGGCTTTACTGAAGTCCATGTAGACAACATCAACCGCTTTTCCCTCATCAATCATCTTCGTCACCTCCTCCAAAAAAACACATTAGTGAGGCACGATCTCCCTGCACTAATCAGTCCATTTTCTTCTAAATATTAGTAGATCTTGTCCCTGAGAAGCTTTTCCAATAATTTCCTTACCAGTGATGTGAGGCTCATAGGCCTGTAATTTCCAGGATTATCCCTGTTACCCTTTTTAAACAATGGGACAACACTGGCTATTCTCCAGTCCTCTGTGGCCAAAGAGGATACAAAGATGTCTGTCAATGCTCCAGCATTGTGTTCTCTTGCCTCCCTCAATATTCTGGGATAGATCCCATCAGGACCCAGGAACCTATCTATCTTAATACCTTTTGGACACAACACCTCTTCCTTTTTAATAGCAACTTGGCTTAGAAACTCAACACTCCCTTCCCTGAGATCATCCTTCATCAATTCCTTCTCTGGCGAATACCAACATAAAGTATTTATTTAGGACCTTACCTACCTCTTCCGCTCCACATATAGATTCCCTCCTTTGTCTTTGAGTGGGCCAACCCTTTCCCTGGCTATCCTCTTGCTTTTTAAATCTGTATAAAAAGCCTTGGGATTCTCCTTATTCCTATTTGCTAATGACTGTTCATGACCCCTTTCAACCTTCTGTCTTGCTTAAGTTCTTTCCTACTTACATACTTCAGTCATTGAATTTGGGGTTTTGGAGTTGAAGCTGCTAGATACAGATCTCTGTCTGCTGCCGCAAAATAAAACTTGAGTTCTCTGCTGCTAGATTCATTCTGTCGGTATTTTTGGAGATAATCTCTGCTGTAGGATCTTATTGGTGCTTTATTGGAGTTCATAAAGATAATATCCATCAACATATCCCTGTGCACCTTGTCAGTGAACGCAAAGTTTTTAGCAACATTAATCAAAATTGACTTCTCTTTCACAAATCCATGCTGACTCTCCTCAATCAGGTCCTATTTGTCCAAGTGCTCACTCACTCCTTCCCTGCTTCAAGTCCAGTGTCCCATACTGATGAAGATAGATTTAACTCCTCTTTCTCCACCGATGGTTCCTGACCTGCAGTATTGCTGTTAATGTTTCAATTCTACCGCAGCACCAACAGTAAAATAATAACCTTATATCATTTCAAATTTCTCAGGAATACCTTCAGACCTTTATTTCCTCCACAAAAGATAGTAACTCCTACATCTTCTCCCTCTGAAGTAGGATAGTTGCTTTCATAATTTTCGTCAGTGCCTTACAAAGAAGTGTCATTGAAAATAAATGGCTACACTCAATTGTTCCTAATTATCTTTTGTATGGAATAAAATCCATTGTTTTCATGCTTCTGGAAAATAATCATTTGCTTTCAATGTTTAGTCACTATATCAGTGTTTTTGAACCAAGTATGTGAAATTCTTTATGTTCCATATCACGATTTTAAAATCGCCTCCTTTATTACCCAAATGTTATATTTTGTGTTATGGAAAAGTACATTTTAGACATCAGATGTTATATTTTTCTGATGTGTAACTGTTACGTACTTTGAGTTATGAGGCGCAATGTTGACATCTATCGGCAGGAAGGAGTTGTCTCTTTCACCTAATGTCACAGTTATAAGGAGAAAAAGTTGAGTTTTGAATTTTTTAGACATTTTTCTTGAGTGCACTTGGTATTACAATATATGTTATTGATTATAGAATTGATTACATTGTTATAAATTACAGAATATTTTTAATTACATTATGTTTCTGCAAATCAAAATATAATTGTGATTAGTCAACTGCCATCTTAGTAAACGGTCACTAATTTATAATCATTTAAATAACAATGATTATTGATAATTTAATTGTTGAGTATAATTTAAATGTGCTCAAAAATTGTAATCTGTTTTCTTCTATTATTGTTTTATTTTGAAAGGTCAAGATGGAAAAAAAAATCACGCAGGATGCTGAAAGCAGTCAGTAAGGCGACAAAAGAGCCTGCTTCATACAAAGAACATAGAACAATACAACACAGGAACAGGCCCTCAGACCCTCCAAGCCTGCGGTGGTTCATTTTGCTTTTCCATGTGAAAACAGTCTTCACTTACAGGATTCACATCCCTCTATTCCCTTCCTATTCATGTATTTGTCCAGGTGCTTCTTGAACGCTGCTACTGTGTCTGCTTCCATCACCTCCTCTAGCAGTGTGTTCCAGGCACTCCACCCTTTATGTGAAAAATGTGCCTCACACATCTCTTTTAAACTTACCCCCTCACACCTTGAATCTGTGTCCCCTAGTAACTGACCCCTCCAGCCTGGGAAAAAGCCTCATACTTTACACTCTATCCATGCCATTCACAATCTTATAAACTTCTATCAGGTCACCCCTCAAACTCCTGCATTCCAGTGAAAACAAACCCAGTCTATCCAACCTTTCTTCATAGCTAAACTCCCCCATACCAGGCAACATCCTGGTTAACCTTTTCTGTATCCTCTCCAAAGCATCCACATCCTTCTGGTAGTGTGGCAACCAGAACTGTATGCAATATTCTAAGTGTGGCCTAACTACAGTTCATAAGAAAATGTTAACATCTTGCTCCAGCACCAGCTCTTCAGAGAGACAGGTGAATTCATGTTCAATATATCCAGGTCAAAGGCAGTCTTTCAAATCACAGACTACGGTAAGAACAAGATCCATATCTGCATTAAACACTGCTTTGAGATTTGAAGCCTCAAGCTAAGTCGATGCTAAAGCCATTTTTCAGACGTCAGGTTGCGTTTTGTTCTTCAGATTTTCAAAATCACTTCAGAGTCCAGAAAAACAGCCAGTTCGCAATTGAAAAATCACAAAGTTTCCAGAGAAGTGAATGGTGTAGATAGTGTAAACAATATCACAGTAGGCAGCACAGTTCCAAATTGTTCCAATTTCAAGTTAGGTGAGAGGGAAGTAACTACCCAAGAGTCCTTAAATGTTGGCAGTCAATCCTGAGAGAAAATGGAAGAGAAACTGTAGTAGATGAATAAAGTGAGTTTTGCTTTAAACCTGGTAGTTTGCCTAATCAAATTGCAACTGGAACATATCACTTTACATTTACCTTTAAAATAAGAACGTTTTAGTGTCTAGACTACCTTCTGAATAGTTTGAGGTGATTTGATCTGGTCCATAACATATCTAACATAAAATGGACACTAATTTTAAATGTTTTTAAATTTATGGTATGTGTGTATCAGAATTTAATGCCCATCCTAATTTCTTTAGAGAAGGTGATGGTGAGCTGCCTTCTTTAACCATTGCAGTCCAAGTCAGGATGGTGAGTGGCTTGAAGGGGAACTTGCAGGTGTGGTGTTCTCATCTATCTGCTGCCCTCTTTCTGTGTGGTAGAGGTCATGAGTTTGGTAGACATCATGGAGTCAGATTTTCAGAGCACAGGAGTAACCCTTTGGCCCACTGTCCACAGCCACCAAGTACCTCTCTGGTCTCGACCATTTTTTAGTACATGTCCCATAGGCTTGTAGTTATTTTCCATCAACCTGTTCAGACATGTTAGGACACACTTTGAGGGACGTGAACCTGGATCTGCTGGCTACAGCAAGTGACATTACTTCTCAATGTTGCGATGGCTACCTGTACCACTGTTTCCGGCAGAGAGTTCAGGATGCCCATTACCCTCAATGAATAAAAGTCTTTGTTAAATCCCCTCCAAACCTCCCATCCTTGAATTTAATTTTATGCTTCCTGGTTATTCAACCTCTATGAATTGAAAAGTTTCTTCCCATCTACCCTATGTTACTCAATTTTGTATACCTCAATCAGATTTCCTCATCAAACTTCTCTGCTCTGAGGCAAACAATCCCTGCCTATTTATTGTCTCTTCATAATTGTAATGCTGTAGCCGAGGGAACTTGTGCCCAATGGAAGAACAGAAAATAATATGCATAAATATCAGAATCCTGTCCCAAATTATTTACATTAATTGATCTGACACTTTCAAAATATTTTTCCCCAAAACATTTGAATTGAAATTGCAATACAGTATTATCATTGTGATATAATTCCTGATCAGTTGCAATATTACAGGAACCAATAAACAGTACATTACTCCAGGCTAAATGTCAGTAATTTTATCAGTGCTCTTCTGTCTGTAATATGGTGAAGAGATTTCAAAGTGGAATTTGGAATAATGATATATCAGGTAACAGAGCACATACCTTCAACTTTGTCAATCAGCATCTCCATTGGAAATGATCAAGTACAATACAAAACAGTACCAAATACATCATTTCAACAGCTCCAAATTTCAGAATTTTTAACTCAACATTTTATATCCATTCATTTTGATAGTGGGAGAAATAATGCAAGCACACACCATTATGAATGGAAATGAAGGCATAAGTAGTGAATCTTTTTTGATATCTGAACAGATCAATAACAAATATCAATAAGAACAGATTTTACAAGTTGGAGTTCATACAAAGTACAAAGTATTTCCCAACCTGTGTTCTAATTTTACTCTTCAGCTATACACAATTCCATTTCTTGTCCAAGCATTAGTTACAATTTAATATTGAGTAGCATAGTGTCATTAACTCAAAGAACAAAAAGGGAAATACAATTTCAATGTAAATATTTAGCACTCTTTTTTCAAAAACAGTAAATAAAAAGTCAGAGTCACCTATTTAAGGCAGATAAGATGCTTTTGTTTACTCAGAGGGCCATGGGTTGTTGGAACACTTCCTCAAAAGGCAGTGGAAGAAAAGTTGTTGAATATTTTTGCAGCAGAGGTAGGTAAATTCTTAATTAGCAAGGGAGCGAAAGGTTATCAGGGTTTCTCAAGAATATGGTGTAATCAGATCACTAAGGATCTGACTGAATAGCAGAACAAGCTCATGGGATTGTGTGACCTATCGCTGTTCCAATTCATATTCATAAGTTCAAGGGTAATTCAATAAATGCAGGAAGTTTCAACATATTCCTTTTGTTTTCATTGGACAAGTACCTGAGTCAGTTCTAGTAAGTGTAAATGAGCCACATTATAAGCTTGAATGTTTGTCCTACTTTGGTTGTTCGTGTAGCTTTTTAGCGCACTCGGGTTTGTTTAGTAGGTGCTGCCAATTGCAAATGTGTAGTTTTTAATTTTGCAGATATGGACTGGTTGAGTACAACATGTACTCTGTTATTAGGTACAATAACATCTTCTGACATAGATGACTTTGCTGCCACTGCCACACCATCACCTTCTCCACATTTTCGTTGTTACTGTTTTGGCTGTCCTTAACTGTAAAGGTTTAGTTTGCAGCATTTTGCCCCTCAATATCTTTATGTCCAAGAAATAGCTTTCTATATTTTGTAAAGTAACAGAGCTAAAAGCTTGTAAGTGGAATATTTACTTAAGAATACTTTGTGAGAAATGTTGGTATAATTACATTCCATAACCAAATTAAAGATTATATCACCATTGTTACTGGTCCTGCTTGATATCCAAAATTACGTCAAATAAAAATGTTTTTTCTATCTTTTTGATTACGTTGAAATATTTTGTTTTATCTAAGCATTTTTTCAGTATAGGATAGTCAAACTTCATAATACAATAAATTGTTTGAAAAACTTTGTGTAAAATTAATGATTTAATATTTTTACAGACTTATGTACATATTTGTACACATATTCTTGAAATAGAAAGACTTGAAGAACATGTCATGCAATAACTTGCAATATGCATTTGTTAATAACCCATTACTCCAAAAAAAATTTCACCTGAAGCTATGGTATCTCATAAATAAAAAAGTGTCCCAAAGATATTCTGTAAATAAATACCCAAAAATGTCACAACAAAATGTAATTTAATAAGGCATTTATGCAATAATAATAACAGCACTTTTTGATAAAATAAGTTTTCTGGAGAAACTGTTATACTGAAGATAATTAATGCAGTTAGTAGATAAAAGAATCATTTAATTACATTTACAAGTCTTATTAAGCAGACATATATAATATGATCCAAACCTTGCCCCTCTCCAGAACATTTGAGATCAGACGTACAATCCAAGATATATGCCAAGACCCTTGTGACATTCTGACACACTGAATACGGTTTAAACTTCACCCTGGAAGGCTTTAGAAAAGTCTCAGATTAATAGTCAGACTTAGACAAATCCATGGCACTTAACTGAACAGTTACCCAGGAAATTTTAGACATAGAAGAACTAGTCTAACTCCTCAGTAACTTCAGAACTGATTCCCTCTCCACCCCTATCACTCATGTTGACACCTCCTGACATACCCTTTACTCAACTGTCCAAGTGTGACCCACTCTGACACACCCTCAACTAACTTTTTGGCCTCCATCGACCAGACACCCCTTCGAGACTATGCTATCCCTCATAACCTGGGCCAGGATAGCTGCAAGCTGACTACCATTGACATTGCAACCCGACTATGATCCAACCAGACATGACTACCTTCTTCGCCCAACCTGATCAATCCACAACCCAACTAGCCTTACTAACCCACTCCGACTACTTTTGGAACCACCTAACCAAATACCTCACATTCCAACCTACCTACCTATAACCCTTATTCATCATTCACCAACAGTGGTGGTATAGAAAGTTGGGAGATGGGGGTTATCTTCTGCAGATCCTCTTTACAGATCTCTGACAGGGTTTCTGTACTCACAGATATTTAAGATATTGCATTTGAAGTTGGATCCTTCCAAACATAACCAGGTAAATGTGCAGTTTTATGACTGATCGGCTTAGACACAGCAGGTCAGATGCTGACTGAAGATTTGGCCCCATGTTTATTACAGAAGGATATATTGTGAACTAAAATATTTAGTCCATGAGTCTGTGGCTGTGTTAAGAAAGCTTTGGCCAAAAGATATGTTAGAAAGAATGGAATCAAAACTCTTTTCCTAATGCTAAAAAAAATCCCAATGTGAGCATGTTAATCCAGAGGTTTTCTTAAACTCCTTTCAGACTAATAATACAACTAGACATTTTTCTTAGTTTTCAGCTAAAGCACACAAGTTGACTAATACAAGTGTCGCCACTGGTGCTCTAATTTTATTTCTCTGTCATTGATAAAGTTCATGACTGCTGAAAAAGAAACATTTTGTCAAAGCTTTCTGTCTTCAACTCATCAGGTCATTTCACAAGAATACCAATTAAAGGAGCTAACAAAGTAAAAGGTTTCATCAGGTTGTCTCTTCTTTCCATCAGTATTAAAGTTCTGTACTACCAGACAATTATTTGACAATTCACTGTTTGTGGAACTATAGAGCGAACTACAAAGTTTTTATACCATAGTAAAATTCAGCAGTTATATCAAAATGGTGTGATAGTCTTCACAAATATTGTAGTGTATACACATAGTTTTATGACAGCATCAATAGAATATTTTGCATTATTCGGTGAAGGTGATATGCCCCTTTTAGGCAACAAGTGCAATTGTTGTTAAGTGAAACCATGCTCACATCAGTTAAGGTTTAGACATTGTTTCCTTAGGACATTTTCTGCTCCATTTCAGAAGTGCACAGTATAAGACAACATTTTTTTGTCATTTTTTTTCTTAAATTACTCTTGATTTGTATTGAAACGTGATGTGATGGGATATATTTCACTGGAGTTTGTGGTACAGGTCAACAGTCAGACTTTCCCTAGCTTAAAATATTTTCACACCATGACTTGCTGCAGTGGATAATGGAGCACTGAGGCCCTCGGACATCTTAGTGAACAGTGAGACCAACAATGTTGATCCAATGAGATTTTAGGAACAAGAAAGAAACAGCATAAAAGGAGAAAAGGATTGTGAATAAGAGTTAAATCATCTGCAGAAACAGAACAGAGAAAAAACGATTATAGTAAGATGATCAAAGGAATAAGAAAAGAAAGTTAAAAAAAATAAATATCTCTTTCAACAATTGGTTACATGCAGGAATGAGGCTGGACACTTCAAGTTGATTCATTTCTGATATTGATATTAATTAGCATTACATTAACATCTGTTATTGTTTTAAAAATTACATCATAAAGAGCAGATTTATCTTCCTGTTAATTAACATCACTTCCTATGCACAAATAACTCCTTGCCCTTAGGTGGTATTTCTTTCAAAACTTGTTGGGTTTGTATCTTTTAAAAAGAAACAGAATAGCAAAGAACAAGATGCTATTTGTGAAAAGTGGCATTAATTGATCAGCAAATTCTGGAGATTTGGAACTTGCTAAACAACCTTGAATGTGATGATTGAATAGGATATAAATAATGGCCTGCAGTGGTAACACAACAACATTTTACAGCAAGGTCAGGCCCAATAATTTTACCAGCAAGTTTCCTGTACTGTTGATATTTTCAAGTTGGAGAACAGGCTAATTCACACTAATACACATTATCAACAAACTGTGACGGGAACTACATTAAAGGAAAGAAGAGGACACTGCAAGTGCAAACTATAAGCAATCTTAAATCTATTGCTAGATCCTATCAATCTAAAATAGGACATACTGATTAAATTGATGGATAAATGCACACTTCTCTTCATAACTACATTAATCTCAGTTTGTTTTACAAAGATATTACTAATGTAGGTAATGAAGGTTCTCCTAGTTGTCCACTGTAACCTCAGCAAATAATGTATGGAAATGCCAGAAGTACAGTGTAAATGTTTACAAAATTATGGAAGAAAATCCCTTAATTTTTATTTTTTTTTAGGAACCAGCGCTATTGAGTGAAGCTATCCAGCTACAGTGTGCTGTAAACAAAGCAGTTCAACAGCTGGTTTTTCTTACTGATTTTTAATCACAAACTGTAAGGACATCTACATAATTTACTAAAGGCACATATAGATCTGTAAGGCTGATAGAATTGGGTGCGAGTAGCAAGAAATTGCAGATCATGTTATATTGCATGTGATTTAGATTGGAGCTAAGGTGCAATATTAGGTATGCTTGCAACAACAGGAGTTCACCAAGGATACTCAAGTTCAATTATGCCCAATGTGGAGATGGGATTGTAAAATATCTGCATTCTGAGCAGCCACAGCAGCTATAGCCATCATTGTGTCGATTACATATTTTCTACACAGTCTCCCAGAAAACCAGTTGTGTAGTATGTAGTAGCATTAAAATAGACATTAAAATAAATTTCACAAACAAGTGGGATTTGCAAAAACTGGCATAGGAAAGGAGACAGCATATTCAAATAAATAATCATTAGAAGTTTTGAAGCAAAGTTTTCAACACCATTGTAGTTGGTACACAATCTAAAGCAAAATCCTGCAGTCCGAAACAAAAAAAAGGGATGGAGAAACCCAGCATGTCTGGGAGCACCTGTGGAGCGAGAAGCAGACTTAACATTTCAAGTTCAGTATGACATTTCTTCGAAACTGTCATACTGGACTCAAAACGTTAACTCCATGACAGTTGTAAGGAAGAAGGATTTGAAATGTTAAGTCTGTTTCTCTCTCCACAGACCTGCGGAGTTTCTCTAGCACTTTGTTTTTGTTTGTCTTAGATGTTATAGAACTGGATAGCAGTTTGTAGTGATGTATTTGGTTAGTAAACATTGTGCTTCTTTCACAGTATTAAGACATTCTTCCACTGCTACGTAGACAAATATTAAAGGCATCATCCGTTAATAAACAGGAAATAACAGTATAACTACCATTAGATGTACAAAAAGAGAAACAAGTAGAAGAAATATGCTAATTTTTTGAAGTTTCCCGAATGATTTACGAAAAATGAATATTTGCAAGAACTTGTGCCCATAAAAATATGATTTTTAATACAGCAGAGGCAAAAGTTAAGAAATTTTATGAGTGATACCTCCAAAAATGTTTATATAGTGATCATTTACCTTGATCAGCAACAAAACATTCAGGAAGGGTTTTCAATATAAGTGTACAATGGAAGAAAAGTTCCTGACGTAGTAGGTGATCACAACACACAGCATACCTCTCTTATCAAGGTAATGCTGCCTTTGAAATGGTCTTATTTCAGTTTTCTTGAATGGTAGACGTGGTAGATCTGTTCTTCAAATGGAGTGAATCTCTAGTCAGTTTTTTGATAAGGTACTGTTTGTCACGACCGTGCTGCAAAAAATAGTCACAACTGTAAATGTCTTACACTTGAAAATAATTTGGAGAACTGAATATTCAAACAACAAATGCTGCCTTGATATATGCAGCTAATTATCCTATATTCAATAAATGTAAAACCAAAACATTCCATTGTCTTGCTACTATGTTGTTAGCGTCTAATTATTCCTGCACTGTAAAAACTGTGATGATTTCAGTGTTTGTGTGATGCCAAGGCATATATGGTGCGCATCCCACCATCATCAGGATCATACTGACTGTAATCAACCAGACTGAGCTTGCAACACTCAGGACACAATGTTTAATGCTATATGTGATTCCACGATACAACACCACTTGCTGAACAATTTAAGATTATCATTTTTTTTTATTCACAAGATGAGGGTGTCACTGGCTAGGATTTACTGCCCACCCCTAATGGCCCAGAGGGTTAGTCAAGTAATGTGACCCACTTACACTCGCTAGAAGCTACATATGTTCATATACAAGGTCCTGTGCTCCACAGGAAGAGAAAATGTGTCTAGTCACTGATGCACTTTTTGAATTAACCAAAAGCATTGGGTACAACAGACCCCTGGTGCATTCTCTATGACGATGCCTCAGCCTATGAAGACTTGATTTGTCAATCAATCATTCAATATAAACTGCAAGACAAAAATCTTTGACATGCTTGTTTTGTCAGCAATACTCAAGTTCCACACTACAAAACGAATACTTTGAGTCACCTAATAGAAGGCAGAACCTCTATGTAAAATCATGAATCAACAGCTTAAAAAATATGGGTCCCAAATTTGACTGAACATTGTTTTAAGTTCATTGATGGAATGTGGGTTTCGTTTGCTGGACCAGCGTTTATTGCCAATCCAATTTTCCTTGCGTATCTCAGTTGTCCATTTAGCATAGGTGCACCCACAGTACTGTTAAGAAGGGAGTTTGAGGAAGAACCAGCAACGGTGGAGGAACAGCAATATATTTCTAAGTCAGGATGGTGAGTGGCTTAAAGGGGAATTTGCAGGTGGTGCTGTTCTCATGTATCTTCTACTCTTGTCTGTCTAGATGGTGGCAGTTGTGGGTTTTGTAGGTGCTGTCTAAGGAGCTTTGGTGAATTTCTGCAGTGCATCTTGTAGATGATAGATATTGCTGCTACTGAGCGTTGACAGTAGAGAAAGCAAATGGTTGTGGATGTGGTGCCAATCAAGCAGGCTGCTTTGACCTGTATGGCGTCTTAAGTGTTGTTGGAGCTGCACCCAAATGGGAATATTTGATCACACACCTGATTTCTGCCTTGTAGATGGTGGACAGACTTTGGGGAATCAGATGAGTTACTCACCACAGAATCCCTTGCCATTGACCTGCTCTTGTAACCACAGTATTTATATGACTAGTTCAATTCTTAGTCAATGGTAAGCCTCAGGATGTTGACAGTGGGAGATTCAGCAATGGAACTGCCACTAAATGTCAAGGAGTGATGGTTAGATTCTCTCTGGTTGGAGATGGTCATTGTATAGCACTTGTGTATCACTAATCAGAACAGTCTGCCCAGCAGTGGGCAAGACAGAATTTGGGGATGTGAAGGCACCAACAAATAAAGCCACATTTAAGGAGAAATTTCTGGAGTCTCATCTGGTATCCAGCCAGATCTCTTAGGAAGGGTCACCGGACCCAAACCGTTAATGGTTTCTGGCAGCTGATTTCTCTTCACAGATGCTTCCAGACCTGCTGAGCTTTTCCAGTAATTTCTGTTTTTGTTTCCCTTACCAAGTCAGGTTGACAGGTGTGAGAATTTACCAAAAAGAGGCCAAAGCAAGGGATCCCTAGGAATAGTCTCCAGAACCAGAAGGAGGAGGAATCTGAAGGACATTGCTGAGGAGTAGCCAAATGATCCTTGCACGGCCTTGTGGAGAAGACTCCTGTTTCTCCTGACCTACACTGAGCTCTAAAATAAGTTGATTTTGTAAATGTACCTTGTCTCCCACCATAGACCTGCTTTTGGCCTGCAGACTGTCTGGTATTCGCAAAGTAAAGCCGACAGTACATTGCAAAACACCACGCAATGATGTCTGAACATGAAGTAACATAGAACATAGAACAGTACAGCACAGTATAGGCCCTTTGGCCCATGATGTCGTGCCGAACTTTTACCCTAATCCTAAAGTCTATCTAACCTCCACCCCTACCTTATACTATCATCCATATGCCTATCTGATAGCCGCTTAAATGCCCCTAATGAGGCCGACTCCACAACCCTCTCCGGCAATGCATTTCACGCCCTGACCACTGTCTGAGTAAAGAACCTACCTCTGACGTCTCCCCAGTATCTACCTCCACTCACTTTAAAACTATGCCCCCTCGTAATAGCTACCTCCACCCTAGGAAAAAGTCTCCGGCTTTCTACTCTACCTATACCTCTGATCATTTTGTACACCTCTATCAAGTCACCTCTCATCTTTCATCGTTCTAAAGAGAAAAGCCCTAGCTCTCTCAACCTTTCCTTGTAAGACCTTCCCTCCATTCCAGGCAACATCCTGGTAAATCTCCTCTGCACCTTGTCCAACGCCTCCACATCTTTCCCGTAACGAGGCGACCAGAACTGGACACAATGCTCCAGATGTGGCCGAACCAGGCTTTTGTATAGCTGGAGCATAACTTCACGACTCTTGAACTCAATCCCTCTATTAATGAAAGCTAACACACCATACGCCTTCTTAACAACTCTATCCACCTGGGTGGCAGCTTTCAGGGAGCTGTGAACATGAACCCCAAGATCCCTCTGCTCCTCCACACAGCCAAGAATCTTTCCGTTAACCCTGTATATTCTGCTTTCAAGTTTGTCCTTCCAAAATGAATCACCTCACACTTTTCAGAGTTAAACTCCATCTGCCACTTCTCAGCCCAGCTCTGCATCCTATCAATGTCCCTTTGTAACCTAGAACAGCCCTCCGCACTATCCACAACTCGACCCACCTTCGTATCATCCGCGAACTTACTAATCTACCCTTCCACTCCTTCATCCAAATCATTTACAAAAATCACAAATAGAAGAGGACCCAGAACAGATCCTTGTGGTACACCACTCGTAACTGAGCACCATGCTGAATATTTTCCGTCCGCTACCACCCTTTATCTTCTAAGGGTCAGCCAATTCTGAATCCAATCTGCCACATTTCCCCCTATCCCACGCCTCCTTACTTTCTGCATGAGCCTACCACGGGGAAACTTATCAAATGCCTTACTTAAATCCATGTATACCACATCCACTGCTCTACCTTCATCCACGTGTTTGGTCACCTCTTCAAAGAATTCAATAAGGTTTGTGAAGCATGATCTACCTCTCATAAATCCATGCTGACTATCACGAATCAAACTGTGCCTTTCCAAGTGATCATAAATCCTATCTCTCAGAGCCCTTTCCAATAATTTGCCCACCACTGACGTAAGACTAACTGGCCTGTAATTTCCGGGGTTATCCCTGTTCCCTTTTTTGAACAAGGGAATGACGTTTGCCTCTTTCCAATCTTCCGGCACTATACCCGTGGACAGTGAGGACGAAAAGATCATCGCCAAAGGCCCTGCGATCTCTTCCCTCACTTCCCATAGAATCCTTGGATAAATCCCATCAGACCCGGGGGACTTAGCTATCTTCAACTTCCTCAAAATTCCTAGTACATCTTCCTTACTAACATCGACCTCCTCTAGTCTACCAGCCTGTTTCACACTGTCCTCCTCTACAACTAGGTCCCTCTCAGTTGGGAATATCGAAGAAAAGTATTCATTAAGGACCTTTCCTATCTCTTTAGGTTCCGTGAACAAATTCCCTTTACGAGCCTTGATTGGCCCTACCCTTTCTCTGGTCATTCTCTTATTCCTCACATATGTGTAAAAAGCCTTGGAGTTTTCCTTGATCCTATCTGCCAAGGTTTTCTCATGCCCCCTTACAGCTCTCCTAAGCTCTTTCTTCAGCCCCTTCCTGGATAACTTGTATCCCTCTAGAGCCTTGTCCGTTCCTTGTTTCCTAAACCTTACATAAGCATCCTTCTTCCCCTTAACCAGTCGTTCGACCTCTCTTGAGAACCAAGGCTCCCTCACTCGACCGCATCTTCCCTACCTGCTGGGGACAAACATATCGAGCACACACAGTATGCATTCCTTAACCAATCTCCACATTTCAATAGTGCTCTTCCCTGACAGCATCTGTTCCCAATTTATGTTACCCAGTTCTCACCTAACAGAATTATAATTACACTTCCCCCAATTATAAGCCTTACCCTGTTGTATGTACCTATCCTTTTCCATGACTATTGTAAAAGTAACAGAGTTATGATCGCTACCGCCAAAATGCTCTCCTACCAACAGGCCTAACACTTGGCCTGGTTCATTGCCAAGCACCAAATCCAAAGTGGCCTCTGCTCGTGTTGGTCTATCTACATACTGTGTCAGGTATCCTTCCTGAATGCACTGGGCAAAATCCGTTCCATCTAAACTATTATAACTAAAACGTTTCCAATCAATATTTGGAAAGTTGAAGTCACCCATGACTACAACCCTGTGACTTCTGCACCTTTCCAGTATCTGCCTCCCAATCCGCTCCTCTACTTCTCTGCAACTATTAGGGGGTCTGTAAAAAACCCCCAACAAAGTGACTGCTCCTTTCTTGCTCTGGACCTCAACCTAAACTGACTCTGTAGACATATCATTCTCGAACTGCCTTTCAGTAGTTGCTATACTAGCTCTGACTAGCAATGCCACTCCCCTGCCTCTTTTTCCACTCTCCCTATTTCTTTTAAAGCATCTAAATCCCGGAACTTCCAACACCCATTCCTCTCCCGGAGTTACCCAAGTTTCTGTAATGGCCACAACATCATAGTTCCAAGTCCCGACCCATGCTCTAAGTTCATCCACCTTATTTCTGATACTTCTAGCACTGAAGTATACACACCTCAAACCATCTCTGTGTCCACAATTACGCTCCATCGACCGCAATTCTTTACAAACAACCTCACTCCCTGTTGTGTCCGTTGGAAGGCTGAATACCTCATCCTCTGAATTATAAATCTGGTTCCCCACCCCCTGCCAATCTAGTTTAAACCATCCCGTATAGCTCGAGCAAACCTCCCTCCCAGGATATTTGTGCCCTTCCGGTTCAGGTGCAACACGTCCTTACTGTACAGGTTCCACCTTCCCCAGAATGTGCTCCAATTATCCACATAATGGAAGCCCTACCTCCTACACCAGCCCTGTAGCCACGTGTTTAGCTGCACTCTCTCCCTATTTCTTACCTCGTTATCACGTGGCACTGGTAGTAATCCAGAGATAACTACCCTGTTTGTCCTGGACTTCAGCTTCCAACCTAACTCCCTGTACTCGTTTTTCACATTCTCAGTCCTTTTTCTACCTATGTCATTGGTACCGATGTGTACCATGACTGCTGGCTGCTCACCCTCCCCCTTAAGGATCTTGAAGACACAATCCGAGACATCACGGACCCTGGCACCCGCGAGGCAACATACCATCTGTTCACCTCATTCGCGTCCACAGAACCGCCTGTCTGTGCCTCTTACTATTGAATCCCCTACTACAATTGCTCTCCTATTCTCCCCCCTTCCCTTCTGTGCCACAGGGCCAGGCTCAGTGCCAGAGACCTGTCCGCTATGGCCTTCCACTGGTAGGTCGTCCCCCCCAACAGTATCCAAAACGGTATACTTATTATGGGGGGGGAACGGCCACAGGGGATCCCTGCACTGTCTGCCTATTCCCTTTCCCCCTCCTGACAGTCACCCAGCTACCTTTTTCCTGTGATAACAAGGTGTAGAGCTGGATGAACACAGCAGGCCAAGCAGCATCAGAGGAGCAGGAAGGCTGACGTTTTGGGCCTAGACCCTTCTTCAGACATACCTTTTACCTTCTACCTTTTTCCTGTACCTTGGGTATGACCACCTCCCTATAACTCCTCTCTATCACCCCCTCAGCCTCCCAAATGATCCGGAGTTCATCCAGCTCCAGCTCCAGTTCCCTAACGCGGTTTTTGAGGAGCTGGAGTTGGGTGCACTTCTCGCAGGTGAAGTCAAAGGGGACACCAGCAGTGACCCTTACCTCCCACATCCTGCAAGAGGAGCAGTAAGTCCCAGCCTGTTTCATCATTAGCTGATGTCTCATTAATAGCTTGAGGCATTGTGCATAGAAATGACAAAGGCTGGGAATGGGGCAGGCAAGAGGTGTTTTTAAATTTTACCACTCATACCATTCTCACGGGTAAGGGTTCTTTAAATTCTTATCAGGTTCTTTGCATCTTCACATACTGAATCCCCAGGCAAATTCATAATGCCACATCTGTGAAAAGGAACTAGATTTTTAAAAAAATGGTTTTGAAGAGATACCTAAACTTTACAATGCATCATACACATACTATCAAAAGCCATGGACCATCTGCTAAACTGGCAATTAATCACATCAGATGAATATTGTTGAAAATTCAGGTTATGATTATGGAATTCAAATCACTCACCATAGCCAGTTGTTCTCTCAACTGATCAATGACTCGTTTATGTGCTCCAGCCAACGCAACCAGATAGAAAAGGATAAGGCTGAAAGAATGAAAATTGAATGATGTATTCACTTCAGTATAGATAAGAACTACATATTGTGCCCCAGCCCCTGTCCCCAGCCAATGGTGATACTACATTTTCAGACCATATCACTTCATTATTTGCCATTTGAGCATGGCTTATTTGCTGAAGTTTTAAGCAGATCATTGAAATGCTCAGCAATACATTAAATTACATTTAATGATGATAACTTGCATTTAAAAAGTATTTTATGACTGAAAGGAAATCTATGTGTATACTTTCAAGAAATATATGGTTTTGTCGCCTTTCCTCAGTTTAATGGAGCGAGAACAGCAGAACAGTTCTGAAGATGGGTGACTGGACCCAAAACGTTAACTCTGCCTTCTCTGCATTGATGCTGCCAGATTTGCTGAGTTTCTCCTACAATTTCTTTTTTTTGTTGTTGATAATGGAGTATGAATTTGGTCAGGTATTCTTGCAACTCTGGAAGTTAAAGTTTCAAATTACTATAGTTGACACAAAGCTCATGACTAATAATTTATTATTTGTAATTGGTAATACTGTTTCTTAAGGATATATTCACAAACAATGTGGTCTTCCTGCTCTATTAACGTGAGAAGGAATATGGGAGCAGCCTGCCCACAATGCTCATAATATTATGCAAAGGATATTAATCAATTCACAGTGGGTTGTCAGAAATTCTCTTCTGATCTCCGCGCATCTTTGCAGGTTTTGTGTTCAAGAATATAGACTATTTTCATTTATTTTTCTTTTTTTCCTGGGATAAATCTTACAGCATTTATTTTGAACACTGTTTTTCAAAATTTCTCCCAGAGTGGGTGGGAGATACACCTGGAGAATTCAGAACAATGGTTAGCATGTCGCACTGAGAAGAGATTTTAATTTCTGCCATTATATGATTCTATGAATCTATATAGCCAACAGGTTCTAGACCACTACCAGTCATTTTGTAAAAGGTTCTTTTCTCAAATTCCCCTCATATCTTTTGTCCGTAACTTAAATCTCTGCCCGCAGTGCTTATACCATCACGTTAATGCAAATAGCTTTCCCTATCTATCTAAACCTGTTAAACTCTTGTGGACCCCCTTTCCTTGACTGTCAGCAACCCAGCCTTTCCAACCTAACCTTGTAAACTAAAAAATCCTCACCCCTAGAACTATTCTGGTCAACCTCCTCTAGACTGTCTGGAGGATGCTCACATTCATCCTAAAATGTAGTGATGAAAATTGAACACAATCCTCTAGTTGTAGCCAAAGCATAGCTTTATAAAGATTCAGCACAACCTCCCAATTTTTGTATTCAATGCCTATATTTATGAAGCCCAAGATCCCATATGCTCTGCTGGCTACTCTTTCAGTACGACCTGCAAACTTCAAAGATCTAAGAGCATGAAGCCCTAGGTCCCTCTGTCCCGACACTCTTTAGAACTGTCATCAAGTCTATAATCGCATCTTCCTGTCTCTTCTGCCAAGCTGCATCACCTCATACGTCTCGGTGTTAAATTCCACCTGTCATTTTCCTGGTCATTCTGCTGTCTGATTATCCATATCCTGTTTCAATTGATTGGTATCCTCATTGTCAACTACACCATGATGTTTGATGTCATCAGAAAAAGTTTACATTTCATGTTGTATTCCAATATTCAAGTCATTTATGAATTCACAGTCAGAGTCATACAGCGCGGAAACAGACCCTTCGTTCCAAATTGTCCATGCCAACCAAGTTTCTCAAACTAACCTAGTCCCACCTGCCTGCATTTGGCCCATATCCCTCTAAACCTTTCCTATGTATGTACCTGTCCAAATATCTATTAAATGTTCTAACTGTACTTGCATCTACACTTCCACTGACAGTTCATCCCACATACAAACACCCTCTGTGTGAAAAAGCTGCTCCTCAGGTACCTTTTAAATTTTTCTCCTCTCACCTTAAAAATATGCCCTCCAACTTTGAACTCACCTACCCTGGGGAAAAGACCTTTTCTATTCATCTTATCTATGCCCCTCATGATTTTGTAACCCTCTTTAAGGTCACCCCTCAACCTACTATGCCCCAGTGATAAAAACAGCCTAACCAGCCTATCCTTATAACTCAAACCCTCCAGACCTGGCAACATTCTTGTAAATCTCTTCTGAACCTTCTCCAATTTAATAATATCTTTATTAGTATTTCTAGCACTGACTCTTACAGAACCTCAGAATCAACCAGCCTCCAGTCCAGAAAACAACCATTTCCACAACTCTCTATTTTCTGTCCTTAAGCAAACATCTTACTCAATCTGACACTGACTGCCCTATTCCATGAGCTTCTGATTTGGTTGACTGACGGGTAGTTATTAGGAATGGCCTTGTATCTTTCCTGAACAAGGGATTTACATTTGCTAATTTCCAATCCTCTAGCCCATCCTCCTTATCTAGAGAAGGTTGGAACAAGATGGTAAGCATTTCTGTTACCTTCACACCCATTCCTTTAGTCATCTGCAATATAAACCATTTGGACCAGGCTTTTTACCTACACTAAGCATAGCCAGCCTTGCCAATATATGCTACTGATCACTTTTCACCACATTCATTGCCTCTAGCTCCTTCCTTCGCTCAATGCATTTTCCTCAAGCTCTGTGAAAATGCCTTGGAATAATTTATTTTACATTAAATGGTCTAAATAAATAGAATTATAGGTAAAAGTGTACATGTATAAAATGACATAGAATGATATATTAATAATGTAATTGTTTAATATATAATTTCAAATCACGACTATAACAGGGATGATCAGAACGTTACAGATGACATGAAAATAGTGGTAAGTAGTGAGAAAGGAAAGTTTTGGATTACAGGACAATACAGGTGGGCTGGTCAGATGTGCTGAACAGTGACAAGTTAGAAGTGTGAGGTGATGCATTTTTGAGGACTAACATGCCAAGGAAGTACACGTTGAATGGTGGGACCCCAGGCAGTACAAAGGTACAGAGGGACCTTGGTCTGCATATTCTTGAAGACAGCAGAATAGGTGGATAAGGTAATTAAGGTGGCATATGCGATACTTGCCTTTATTAGCTGAGATTTGGAATACAAGTGCAAACAGGTTACAAATAGAGCTGTATAAAACATCAGTTAGGTCACAGCTACAGTACTGTGTGCTGTTCTGGTCACTGTACTATAGGAAGGATGTGATTGCATTGGAAAGGGTGCAGAGGAGATTCATCAGGATATTGCCTTGTGGAGAGAAACTAGATAAACTGGTATTTTTTTTAAGAGCAGAGAAGACTGAGAAAGGATCTGATTGAGGTGTGCAAACTTATTAGGGGCATACATAGGGAGGATATGGAAAAAATTTTGTCCTTAGTGGAGGTGTCAATATTAGTGAGCATAAATTTCAGTTTTGGAGAGAAGGTTTCGGGGATTTAAAGAAAATTTCTCACTCACTAGAACTCACTGCCTGAAAGGCTGGTGGAGGCACAACATTTACAACATTTGAGAAGTACTTAAAGAAAAACTGGAAACACCATAGCATACAAGGCTACGAGCCAAGTGCTGGAAAACAGAATTAGAAAAAAATAGGTATTTGATGATCGTCCTTGGTACAGTGGGCTGAAGGGCCTTTCCTGTAAAACTCTGACACTAGAATTTTGTGTAATTAGTGTTTTAGAACACCAAAAATCTATGCAACAATTCAGTACTTTACTTTGTTTACCGGAGATAAACTTAATAGTTTCTTTTGAAAGATTATGAATTATTTGTTGGTCACTAAATCATAGACACATTAATAAGTGGTAAACATTTTGTAACTCAACTGGAAAAAACAACTGACATTTTACCATAAAATACTTCTTACCATACAAATAAAAAGAATGGCACTGCAAAAGCCTCAGATGCCAAACCATACAGAAGTTTGTTAAAGCCCTTGGGGAAACGGTCGATGGTTGCTGGTATGACATGCCATGATATATTGTATTTAACAAATGGCCCACAAGATTTGGATGATTTGATCCTGATTGGAAGCAAAAATAAATTATTTTACCTCTAATACAAAAACAATCAAATTACTTCAAGAACAAGTCCTTTCAAAATCAAAAACATAATTTGGCTACACCAAATAATAGCAGGTTTTACCTCTTTATAAATGCTGCCGTCATTTTTCTATTACATTTTCAATTTTTGTTCTTTCTCTCCAGCAGGAAGCCTTTTAAAAATGTTAAAATTTCCAACATGAACATTTGTGTAGTTTTGGTAAATGATTGAATTTTTGAAGCCAATTGTCTTTTACATTCTGGAGATTCAGCAGTTATCAATACTAAAAGTCAAATGATAAGCTCAGAGGCCGGAGATCCTTAACAAATATGTATGATTGCATATAAATATGTTCATTCATGATATATCAGGTTGTGCGAGCTGCATTAAACCAAAATATAGCAGGGTACTTAGAAAATCATTGTGATCATGCAGAGGCGACATAGCTTTGTGAAAGGGAAATCATGTTTACTAATTTATTACAGTGCTTTCAGAAAGTAACAAGGAGATGGATATAGGCAAATCTGTAAAGTGATTTATTGGGATCTCCAAAAGGTTATTGGTGAAGGTGCAACATCATAAGTTGCTACACAAAATAAGAGGTCATGGCGTATGGATGACATGTTAGCTAACTGGAAAGAGACTAGAGATAAATTTGACGTTTTTTTGGGTTAGCAAGCTGTCAGAGATAAATATGAGGTTATCCACTTTAGTAGCAAAATCAGGCAGGCAGATTATAAATGGGGATAGATTTGGAAAGGGGGAGGTGCATTGAGACCTGAGTGTCCTTATGTATCAGCTGCGAAAAGTGAGCATGCAGCTGCAACAGGTGGTAAGGAAGGCAAATAGTATGGTGGCCTTCATAACAGAATGATTCAAATATAGGAGCAGGGATGTCTTGCTACTACTGCACAGGGCATTAGTGAGACCACACCAAGAGTATTGTGTGCATTTTTGGTCTCCTTATCTGAGGAATGATGTTCTGGTTATGAAGAGAGTGCAATGAAGATTTAACAGACTGATTCCTGGGAGGACTGATGTATGAAGAGAAACTGGATTGGTTCACTGGAGTTTAGAAGATTCACGGGCATCTCATAGAAACCTATAAAACTTTAACAGCATTAGACAGGGTAGGGATGCAGGAGGGATGCTCTTCATGACTGGGGAGTCTAGAACCTGGAGTCACAGTCTCAAGGGTAAGGGGTAGGCCTTTTAGGATAGAAATGAGGAGAAATTTCTTCACCCAGAGAGTGGTAAGCCTCTGGAATTCTCTGCAACAGGAAACGATTTAGGTCAAAACATTAAAGACTTTCAAGAAAGACATAGATATAACTCTTAGAACTACTGAGATCAAAGGGTATGGGGATAAAGCAAGACTAGGGTACTGATCAACCATGATCATACTGAATATCAGAGCAGGCTTGAAGTGCCAAATCACCTACTCCTGCTCCTAAAATGGAGAATGGGACTCTTGCCTCTCAGTGGGTGAATTTCCCATCCCAGGAGTTGCTAGCCAAACTGCAGTTCCAGCAGCACCAACATCTGTAGGGCTATAACCAGCCTTACAAAGAAGACTCAATACATCGTCAAGTGGCAAGACAATGGTATTGACAGGGACCGTGTCCGAGTATGCATTAATCTTTGAAGGTGGCAGGAGATACTAAGAAAGTAGTTAACAAAGCATTTGGTTTCTTGGGCTTCATAAATAGAGGCACTGCAGACAAAAGCAGGCAAATTATGCTGAACCTTTAAAAGATCTGGCAAGACCCCAACCAGAGTACTGGATGCAGTTCTGGTGGTCACACTGTCATAAAGATGCAAAGATCTTTGTGAGGGCACAGAAGAGATTTACCAGAATAGTTCCATGGATTGGGGTGGTGTGAAGTTCAGTTTAGTTACAATGTTAGGTTAAAAATGATTGGCTTGTTCATCTAAGAAATTGGATAGACACTTGAAGGAAATAAACCTGCAAGACTTCAGAAATGACTGAGGGTGTGGGACAGAGTGAATTGTTCTGAAGGGAGCCAATTTGGACTCAGCACACTGAATGACCTCTCTCTCTTTCATAAATGATTCCACCACCTCAATAAGTAACTCATTCATAATGGGTGAAGTATCACTTTGTGCAGTGCAACTAGAAAAAATAGTCTGTTAATACTCAATACTCACACTCCAACACTGAAAACAATAGGCACACAGGCTAAGGGAAGTCCAATTAACAGCACTGCCAGAAAGAAGAAGTTAGAGCTTGATGCCCGAAAAGGTCTGGTGGAAGGGCGACAGTTGTTCATCAGAGATATCTGGAAGGTTCAGAAGACATTGTAAGTCGCAATTCCACCAAGCTCTGCTTTCCTCCCTTCATTTCCTGCCGATTTGTCCTTTTGATTACACTTTCAAATGGCCATTACTTGTCCTTGTACATTGTAGATGGGCAAGATATTTCAACAACGGGGCATCACAGCCAAACCAGATTTCTTTTTTTCCAATATCTATATGTTGCTAGATAATAACTATTATTAATTGGTGCATTCTGCATGGCAACACCTCTACCAATTAAAATCCATTTACTAATCAGCGCTCTTCTTTCATACAGTGTAAGTATTGATATTCCCCCTGAAATGGCATTGTTGCAAAATGTCCTGATGAGTGCTGAGAAGACAAAAAGCTTCAACAAAATGTGTGTTCTTCAGCAATATTAAAGTTCTGTACTACCAAATGACTGATTTTTCCTTACACTTGGATATGACTGTCATCGTTGTCCCAAGCACCCTATAAGCATTTATTAAACTGACATTAGGTAATTCACCACAAGCAAACAATAAAAACTGCCGCCTTCATTACTCTAATCTACAATTACGCTTTTTCCACTATGAGTATAATACCATAGAATATCCTAGATGTTAAAAATACTCCATAAATGCAATTTTATGCATTTACTCTACTACTTAGCCACTCACTGATGTAACCCATTCAGTTCACTGTGGGAACCTCAGTGGAAAGCTCAAATTAAATTTGGAGAAGTCTACAACAGATCTCAGATTTTGATTGCTACTAATGATTGAATATTTTTTAAATGATCACATCCATCAGTCAGAAATACGAAGTAAAGTTTAAGGAATTAATTCAATCACCTGGTCGCCTCATACCTTTGAGGAAAATTATTTTTCTTCACTGGTATATTCTGTAAGATAGCTCACCTTTTTGATATAAAATATGATGAAGTATTTGATGGTTGCTATTCCAGGGAGCAATGGGGAGTAAAATGTTCCTATCCAGCAGATAGTCTGACCATACACAATTTCTAACACATTTTGAGGAACTGAAAACTGCTGTTGACCCCACCACTTGAATGGGGCCCATGTGCAATATGTTACAATTAACCTGAAAGATAAAAATATTAAAGATATAATTATGCTCTTAGAAAATGTGGCATCCTTTGCTAAACTGCACTTTTTGATAAACTTAAAATTCAATGGCTAATGTGATCTAACAAGTTGCAAAAAGTTAATGAAATAATCCTAAAAATAAAACTGTGCTGAATGACACAATGAGCAATTTTGTTAAATAAAAGAAATGAAAATATACAAAAATAGTTTATACTTTCACTGATGTATTAAGTTAGTTTCTTTTCAAAAATAATCAAGCTATAACAAAACCCCTCTCCCCTCACCACGGCACCATTCATGTGATCTTCATCTTTCAACTACCCAAGAAATGCAACAACATCAAGCAGTGGTGCATGAGCAAGAAGTGTCTGAAGAGAGATGGTAAAAAAGCGGAACTGTTATTTAAGAGGACACTGAGGGTGTGATCACTGGTATTAATCAGATAACTGGATCGTGGATACTAGGTCAGAACATGGATACCTTGTAGCTTCTTTCTTCACTCCTCTGCTTCATCTTCAGCTGTTTGCCTTATCTTGGTACACCCACAGGTACACCCCACCATGCTATAAGAAAGGGAGTTCCAGGATTCTAATATAGCAATGGGGTATGATGACATACTTTTAAGTCAGGACGGTGAGTGCTTTAAGGGGAACTTGCAGGTGGTGGTATTCCCATTTATCTGCTGCCTTCTTCCTTCCAGATGCTAGATGTAATAAATTTCGAAGACACCCTCTAGGAAGGCATTGTACCATGTATGTGGTACAGACAGCTGCCACAGTGTGTCAATGGTGGAGGGAGTGCATGTTTGAATATGACTCTCATTATATTCATACATTCAATTGTTAATACAACACAGTGATAAACCAGATGGTCAGCAAATGACCCTTGCCACTCTCTGATTGATGGTAATGGTTTCTTTAGTATTGCTGGATCAAAATCCTTAAGTTCCCTCCTGAGAGCACTGTGGGTCACCTAAACTAAATGGACTGCAGTAGTTTAAGATAGCAGCTCACCACTACTATTTATAGAACACTACAGAACACTATCTTTGCCCCTCACTTTACTCACAGTGCATCAGTCACTTCCCTTATCCAGCACTGGACAATGAACCACACTATGTTGGTGAAGCCCTTGTTCTAGCTTGGAATTAGCTCAACATGAAGAAATTAATGGCCATGAAAAGCTTTACAGCCACAGTAATGCTGTCCTTTCCCTGAAGAGGTTGCAGACTTGCCTGCAAGAGAGTAGCAGATTTCTGTACACATCTTCTTTAGTGAAATGGAGATATCACAGAAATCTTGCTTCACATTTCAAGGCCTTGTTAATGCGTCCGGTAGTTCATAGAACAGCAGACTTCATCAGCTTTGCAAACTTGTAAGCACTTCTACTAAATCAACATCAGCCAGCAAAAACCAATCAGCAACCAACCATGAAGTGGTCAACGATCCCTCAAATTCACACCAAAACAGGGTCTTTACTGCTGTTGAGCATCTTCTGTGGTCTCAGCAAGACTTACAAATCAGCATTGCATACTAATTCATGTCACAATCTGCTGACTCTGTACATTTCTTGTGCACACTTCCAATATACAGGCTAGCAATCTCCCTATTCAAGACAGTGGCGGAGAAGGGCTCCTGAGCCGGAGCTTGTCCGCTCCATCCATTTCCTTTACTTCTCTTTTCTTGTTTTTTTTTCTTTCTAGTAACCTCTCATCCTGGAATGGCATCAGTAGCAATAAGTTGAGCCAGTGTAAATCCAGGTGAAGCCCAGCATGGACCCAAGTTTAAGCCCATCACGGACTCGTATGCTCTGTCTGCTTTTACTTTTATTTTTCTTTCTCTGCATTTTTATAAACTTTAACCTTACTTGCCATCTGTTGAGAGCACCAGGCAGATTCAACAGCAGCTGCAATGCCAAGATCGGCCCAGAGCAGTCTCATGGTGGTAACACTGTCAGTAGACGCAAGATGACACCTAAGAATGGTGACATGGTAATGCGGGGATAGCACAGTGAGGGGGACTTGTGCTAGTGACGGTATCAGCATCGGGTGGAAGAGCCCGGATCTAGGCCCATGGCCAAGCACTTAAAAATGACTGTAATGCTAAACTTTTAATTTTATTTCTTTATTTCTACCTTTGTACCTAAAATAGCGCCAGAGAATAGTGACTTTGTACACTTTTCATTGTACTCCTGTAGCCCTGTACTTGAGTACATGTGACAATGAAACCTAATTCTAATTCTAAATGGTATGTACTGCAGTTTGAAGCAGACATATTTGCACATGAATGCCATATTGAATCCAAACAGCAGCGGTAGAGATATACAGCACGGAAACAGACCCTTTGGTCCAATTTGTCCAGGCTGACCCCATATCCTAAATTAATCTAGTCCCATTTGCCAGCATTTAGCCCACATCCCTCTAAACCCTTCCTATTCATATACCAATTCAGATGCCTTTTAAATGCTGTAATTGCATCAGCCTCCACCACTTCCTCTAGCGGCTCATTCCATACACAAACCACTCTCTGCATGAAAAAGTTGCCCCTTAGGTCGCTTTTAAATCTTTCCCCTCTCACCTTAAACCTATGCCCCTCTAGTTTTGGACCCAACCCACCACCGTCCCCGCCCGGGGAAACGACCATGTCTATTTACTCTATCCATGACCCTCATGATTTTATAAACCTCAATAAGATCATCCCTCAGCCTCCGACACTCCAGGGAAAACAGCCCAAGTCTATTCAGACTCTCCCTATAGCTCCCTCCAACCCTAGCAACATTCTCCTAAATCTTTTCGGAGCCCTTTCAACTTTCACAACATCCTTCCTATAGCAGGGAGACCAGAATTGCATGCAATATTTCAATAGTGGCCTAAACAATGTCCTGTACAACCGCAACATGACCTCCCAACTCCTATACTCAATGCACTGACCAACAAAGACAAGCATACCAAACGCTTTCTTCATTATCCTATCTACCTGCGACTGCCCTTTCAAGGAACAATGACCTGTATTTCAAGGTCTCTGCTCAGCAACATTCCCCAGGACCTTACCATTAAGTGTATAAGTCCTGCCCTGACTTGCCTTTCCAAAATGCAGCACCTCACATTTATCTAAATTAAACTCCATCTGCCACTCCTCAGCCCACTGGCCCATCTGATTGCAGTCCCATTGTACTCTGAGGTAACCTTCTTGGTTGTCTGCTACACTTGCAATTTTAATGTCATCTGCAAATTTACTAACCGTACCTCCTATGTTCGCATCCAAATCATTTATATAAATAATGAAAAGCAGTGGATCCAGCACTGATCCTTGTGGCATACTGCTGGACACAGGTCTCCAGTCTGAAAAGCGACCCTCCACCATCGTCATCTATCTTCTACCTTTGAGCCAGTTCTGTATCCAAATGGCTAGTTCTCCCTGTATTCCATGTGATCTAACCTTGCTAACCAGTCTACCATGAGGAACCTTGTCCAAAGCTTTACTGAAGTCCATACAGATCACATCTGCCGCTCTGCCCTCATCAATCCGCTTTGTTACTTCTTCAAAAAACTCAATTTCGTGACAGACAATTTCCTACGCACAAAGCCATGGTGACTATCCCCAATCGGTGCTTGCCTTTCCAAATACATGTAAATCCAGTCCCTCAGGATTCCCTCCAACAACTTGTCCACCACCAATGTCACGGTCACTGGTCTATAGGTCCCTGGCTTTTCTTCACCACCTTACTTAAACAGCAGCACTGCGTTCGCCAACCTCCAGTCTTCCGGCACCTCACCTGTGGCTATCAATGATACAAATATCTCATGACGTGGAGGTGCTGGTGTTGGACTGGGGCGGACAAAGTCAGAAGTCATACGACGCCAGGTTACAGTCAAAAGGTTTATTTGAAATCACAAGCTTTCAGAGCATAGCCCCTTTGTCAGGTTGCCCAACAAAGGGGCTATGCTCCGAAAGCTTGTGATTTCAAATAAACCTGTTGGACTGTAACCTGATGTCATGTGACGTCTGACAAATAGCTCACCAAGGGGCCCAGCGAACATTTCCCTAGTTTCCCATAGAGTTGTAGGATATACTTGATCAGGTTCCAGGGATTTATCCACCTTTATGTTTTATGACATCGAGCACCTCCGCCTCTGTAATATGGACATTTTTCAAGGTGTCGCTTTTTATTTCCCCACATTCTCTATCTTCCATATCCTTCTTCACAGTAAACGCCAATGCAAAATATTCATTTAGTATCCCCTATCTCCTGCGGTTCTGCGCATAGGTGACTTTGCTAATCTTTAAATAATCATGTATCTAAACTAATTAAATCCTGTACCAAAATTCACAATCTCTGAACATATGAAATGGGAAAGAGTGGTAAGGTAAATAATACTTACTTTCTGGGGAATTCCACAAACAATGCAACTGATGAAATTATTATCAAGTCAAATATCATTAACTTGTACATTTCTTGTCCTATTCGGGTTTCCCAGCACTGAAACATATAATCATATTAGGACAGAGATCAGTGAAATGAAATGTGAAAGCAAATGAGTCTGCAGTATCAGACTGTAGGTTTTGGTCTGGAATCCTTTTTAAAATCTAGGACCAATGTATTTCTTATGTCTCTAAATCTTGTTAATACCGAAATTTCTCTTGTCTTTCATATTAGCCTTGAGAACAATTCAAACAGAGAGGTTTATTAGCTTCCATCCCTTAAAGGACAGGTTTAGTGTAGGCATGTCACGTATGTCTGATGTTAGTTTATATATTCTTCGTACCCTCCCAGAAAGAAACCTGAAAATAGCAATAATTTATTGTATTATTCATCTCAAGTTCCTTCTCAAGTTTGACTCCATTTGGATAGGGCCTTAACTTCTGCCCTCAATACCATACTTCCATTACAATAATTTAAGACATTCTGTTACTGTACTTCGCAGCTATTTTCTAGATTTTTACAGTATGCAAGTTTATTTATATATAGTATGGCTCCTTCTATATCAGTATTAATTCTTCCCTTCCCTGTTCCTAAACCACAACATTTTTCTATTGATACATTTTGGAGCAACTTTTATTTAATTTCCTTTTGTTACATTTATGCACATTTTCCTGCAATATTTTTGAAGAATGTGCCTATTCTGCCTCATTGAACCTATTTTTGAATGGTTAGTATCCCTCACTGTAATTGCATAATTAAGCAAACTCTGAGTATTTGGATCACTCATGGGTTTTGAAACCATGCAGACAGCATAAATTCATTTGCTACACTGATAAGCAAAGATCTCTATTGCATGTTGCTATAGTTGAGCTCACGAGTGAGCCAAATGTTTCAAAAGAATTGCAGGATGTACAGGGAAATGTACATACTATAGTAAAAGCAAATTAAATTAAAAATTGATTCAAAATGAAACAGCAGAAAAAAGACGCAGATAAAGAAAAGGTAAAGAAAAATTATGACTGCATACAAGCAGCTAACAGAGACCTAGGGTCAGGTACATAATTCTTTGAAAGTTGAATCACAGGTAGACAGGGTGGTAAAGAAGGTATTCAGCATGCTTGCTCAGACCGTTGAGTATAGGACTTGGGATGTTATGTTGAGGTTGCACAGGACATTGGTGAGGCCATATTTGGATGGCTGTGTACAGTTCTGGTCGCCCTACTATAGGAAGGATATTATTAAATTGGAGGGGCTACAGAAAAGATTTACTAGGATGTTGCCAGGACTGGAGGGTTTCAGTTACAAGGAGAGGCTGAATAGGCTGGGACATTTTTCACTGGAGTGTAGGAGGTTGAGGGGTGACCTTATAGAAGTTTATAAAATCATGAGGGGCAGAGATAAGATATGGGGAGGAAAGTTTAAAAAGAGCCGGAGTGGCAAACTTTTTTTTTTAAAACACAGAATGTGGTTCGTATTTGGAATGAACTGCCAGAGGAAGTAGTAGATACATGTACAGTTACAACATTTGAAGACATTTGGATAGGTACATGAATAGGAAAGGTTGAGAGGGATTTGGGCCAAAAGCAGGCAGGTGGGACTAGTTTACTTTGGGACACTTGGTCAGCATGGAGGAGATGGACCATGAAGCCAAATTAAATTAATCACTTCTGCCTGCCTTTGGTCCATATCCCTCCATTCCTTGTATATTCATGCGCTTATCTAAAAATTCTTTAAACACCCTTATCATGTCTATCACCACCACCTCCCTGGCAGTACGTTCCAGACTCCTACAACTCGCTGCGTAAACAACTTGCCCCTTCTCACCTTAAATGCATGCACCCCTCTTCCTGCAGCTCATACTCTCTAATCTAGGTAGCATCCTGATAAACCTCTTCTGCACCCTCTCCAAAGCCTCCACATCCTTCCTGTAATGTGGCGATCAGAATTGAATGCAATACTCTACGAGTGGCCTAACCAAAGTCTTATAAAGCTGCAACGTGACATCCTGACTCTTGTACTCAATTCCCCGAACTATAAAGGCAAACATGCTATACGTCTTCTTTACCACCCTATCTACTCGTGTGGCCACTTTCAGGGACCTAGGGACTTAAACCCCAAGATCCGTCTGTACATCAATGTTGTTTAGGGTCCTGCCACTAACTGTATACTTTTCCTTAACACTTGATCTCCCGAAGTGCAGCACCTCACACTTAGCCGGATTAAACTCCATCTGCCATTTCTCCGCCCATATCTGCAACTGATCTATGTTCTGCTGTATCCTTTGACAACCTTCTTTACTATCCACAAATCCCCAGTCTTTGTGTCATCTGCAAAATTACTAACTCACCCATCTACATTTTCAACCAAGTCATTTATATATATCCCAAACAGCAGGGGTCCCACTACAGATCCCTGTGGAACACCATCAGTCACTGACCTCCAGTAAAGAAATCACCCATCTACCACTACACTCTACCTTCAATGGACAAGCCAATTCTGGATCCATGTGAGATAACAAGGTGTAGAGCTGGATGAACACAGCAGGCCAAGCAGCATCAGACGAGCAGGAAGGCTGACGTTTCGGGCCTAGAGCCTTCATCATTCTGATGAAGAGTCTAGGCCCGAAACGTCAGTCTTCCTGCTCCTATGATGCTGCTTGGCCTGCTGTGTTCATCCAGCTCTACACCCTGTTATGTCAGATTTTCCAGCATCTGCAGTTCCTACTATCTCTGGATCCATGTGGCCATGTCACTGTGGATCCCATGCATTTTAATCTTCTGGATGAGCTTACCGCAAGGGACCTTGTCGAAAGTCTTACTGAAATCCATGGAAACAACATCTACTGCTCTACCCTCATCGACCACCTTTGCAAAATTCAATCACATTGGTAAGACATGACCTGCCCTGCACAAAGCCATGATGACTGTTCCTAATTAGGCCTTGCTTTTCCAAATGCGTGCAAATCCTATCTTTAAGAATTCTCTCCAATAGCTTCCCAACTACTGATGACAGAGTCACCAGTCTATACTTTTCTGGAATATCTTTATTTCCTTTCTTAAATAGAAGAACAATATTAGTAACTTGCCAGTCCTCCAGGACGTCTCCAGTGGCTAACGAGGATACAAAGATCTGTGTCAAGGCCCTAGCAATCTCCTCTCTTGCCTCTCTCAATCCCCTGGGGTAGATACTATCGGGACCTAGGGACTTATCCACCTTAATGCTCTTCAAAACATCCAACACCACTTCTCTCTTGATCTAAAAATGCTCTAGCGTATTAGCATGCTCCACACAAATCTCACTATCTTCCATATCCTTCTCCTGGGTGAATACCGACACTAACTATTCATTTAAGATCTCATCCACTTCCTCTGCCTCCAAGCACAAGGCACCTCCTTTATCTTTGAGTAGTCTTACCTGCTGTCTAGTTATCCTCTTGTTTTTAAAATGTATGTATAGAATGCCCTGGGATTCTCTTTAACTCTACTTGCCAAGGTCATTTCATGGCTCTTTCTTGCTCTCCTAATTCCCTGCTTGATTTCTGTCCTGCTTTCCTCATGTTCCTCACAGGCCCTGTCTGATTTTAGCTTCCTAAAATCATTAAATGTGGAGACAATAAGGAGTGCAGATGCTAGAAGCCAGAGTCGAGAGGTTTGAGGCTGGAAAAGCACAGTAGGTCAGACATTGGCCCGAAATGTTGACTTACATTTGCTTCTTTTTCCTTTTTGACTAAATTCACAACCTCCCTCATTATCCAAGGGTGGATCTTTGTCCTATCTTTGTCCTTCCTCCTTACTGGAACATGTCGGTCTTGAACTCTCCCCAGCGGGCCTTTAAACAGTTCCCACATGTTAAATGTGGACTTGCCTGATAAAATCTCCTCCCACTCCCGAGCTCCTGCCTAATACTGACATAATTTGCCCTTCCCCAATTTAGTACCTTCCCGCAAGGTCTTGACTTACCCTTATTCATAGCTATCTTAAAACATAAGGAGTTGTGATCACTGTTTCCAAAAATGAAAGGTCAGTCACGTACTGGCTAATGAGCCTGGCCACAAGGTCCAGTACGGCCAATCCTCTTGTTGGACTATTCACATACTGTGTCAAGAAACCCATTTGGATGCATTTAACAAATTCTGCCCCATCTAAGCCACTTGCTCTAAGTCCCAGTCAATATTGGGGAAGTTATGACTCTATGACTCTCAATAATATTCTCCATTATAATTATTTTAGTGTTTATTTTAATATTGCCATAACATGAGTTCTCTCTTTTTTGATGAAGCATAGTTACTACTGGCTTTTCAAAGAATGACATATCATTGTTAGACAACTTGAACCTCCCAGAATTCCCTCACATACAAGGCAACCATTCACTTTTTTTCTACTTCCTATTACTCTTGAATGTTTTGAGTCTACCACTAAAAGCAGTATATAAACCTGGTAAAAGACTTCAATGATTTTAAGGGTGTGAGGCTGGAAAAGCACAGCCAGTCAGACAGCATCCGAGGAGCAAGTAAGTCAACATTTCGGGCCAATATCTGACCTGCTGTGCTTTTCCAGCCTCACACCTCTCGACTCTGGCTTCCAGCATCTGCAGTCCTTTTTGTCTCCAAGTTTAATGATTTTAAATTTGATGATTAATTTTCATGCACTCATAAAATTCTTCAATATTATAATGTCGATGCTCTAATTTTTAACAGTTAATGATCAGGAACATTTTAACAATTCACTTTAAATCAAATATATCTAACATAATCTGCACAAATTATTAATATTTGTCATCATACAGCAAGTTGAATATAACAAAAATAAATGCTGTTAAAGGAGCATGTTAAATATAAACATTTCATTTTTCATAGAATCCCTACAGTGTGAAAACAGGCTATTTGGCCCAACAAGTCCACATCAACTCTCCGAAGAGCATCCCACCCAGACTCAACCCCTATTCTATCCCTGTAACCCTGCATTTCCTATGGCTAATCCACCTAACTTACACATCCCAGGACACTGTGGGCAGTTTAACATGGCCAATCCACCTAACTTGCATACCTTTGGACTTTGACAGGAAACCAGAGCACCTGGAGAAAACCCATGCAGATACAGGGAGAATGTGCAAATTCCACACAGGCACCCAAGGCTGGAATTGAACTCCGGTCCCTAGTGCTGCAAGGCAGCAGTGCTAACCACTGAGCCACCATCCTGTGATTTGCATATAAATTACATGTTTAAACTAATGATATATTATTATCCATTTCTATGCAGGTTAATTAACTGCATAGCTACCTAAAATGACTGAAAATCTTTTAAGCATTATACAGTGGTTGCTTTGCAAATGCATAATTGATCAGTTTATTTATTTACTAGATTAACTCCAGAGATGAGGGGTCTGTCTACAAAGAGAGATTGAGCAGTTTAGGTCTATACTCTGTAGTTTGGAAGAGTGAGGGATCTAATTGAGGTATATAAGATGCCAAAGGGGATTGAACAAGTAGACATAGAAAGCATGTTTCCTTATGTGGGGAAATCTAGAACAAGAGTCACAATTTTAGGCTAAGGGGTAGCAGAATTAAGACAGGAATGAGGAGAAATTACTTCTCTAACACAGTGGTGAAAATCTATGGAATTCACTGCCCCACAGTACAGTGGACGTTAGGACATTGAGTAAATTTAAGAGGATAAATCGATTTTTAATTAGTAATGGGATTAAGGGCTTTGGAGAGTGGGCAGAAAAATGGAATTAAGGCAGAAATAGATCAGCCATAATCATATCAAATTGCACAGCAGGCTCAAGGCGCCTAACTGCCACTTCTACTCCTAGCTCTTATGATCTTATTAAACTGTTTTGCAAATATGTGCATTGATTTCAATAAATGTGAAAGGACTTGTATCACGTTAGAATGCACCTTTTCTGTATCAAAGATACTTATTTCTTGATGACTACATATTTTATCTTATTGCATTCTATTTGTGCTACATGCAAATTGAAATTCTCAACACCAGAGCATGTTAAACCCATTTCAACTTAATTACAGATATTTGCAAATTTAAAAAAAAATTTTGTACTCACTGGATACAATTTGTTGTTGTAGCCACATGGTTTGCACGCGTCATCATCACAAGTCGTGATTTGTGACCACAAGCTCAGCAAAAGAACAATGATATTAGCCAATCGCACAAACACTGACCTATAGAAATATTCAGTTAGTAAGCTTTGGTTTCACTGTACTCTATTAAGAACATAATGAGGATATGAGATAGCATGGAACGGCATTGGGTTTTAAAATATCCAGATCGCTTAAACAAAAGTTGCATTTTGATCTCTTTTCCTTTTTAATATGTGCCTTGCTAATCCTACTTAACTTCTTTTTATCTTCCATGCCTTTTAATTATCCTCAAATTACTTCTATAAAATTCCTATTTTTTTATTTTTTTTCCTCGCACGATCTTTTCAAGATGTGCTGCCTTTAAAAATGCACCAGTTAGATAATGACTAGCAGATAACTACCAAGATTTGTTGACATCTGACGGGTCAAGGCATGGCCCTAAGGAATAAACCAGATGAACTAAAGAATAACTTTTGCCTATTTTGTTAGGTTGAAATAGGCACAATCTGTGTACTACTTCTTTTTGTCTGCAAAAAACATAGTCCGGTACATGAATATATCCATTTTGCAATATGCACAAATGCACTACACTGCAAGCCAGTCCACCAACCTTAAATTTATCATCAGTCTCATTCTTAGCACAATTGGTATTAGATTTTTATTAATTTATTCATTGGTGAGATGTGGGCATCACTGGCTAGCCAGCATTTATTACCCATCCCTAGTTACTGTTGAGAAGGTGGTACTGAGCTGCCTTCTTGAACTGCTGCAGTCCACCTGCTGTGGGTTGATCTACTATGCCATCAGGGAGGGAATTCTAGAATCTTGACCCAGCAATAGTGAAGGAATGGTGATATATTTCCAAGTCAGGATGGTGACTGGCTTGGAGGGGAATTTGAAGGTAGCGGCGTTCCCATATATCTGCTTTCCATGTTCTAGATGGAAGTGGTTGTGGGTTTGGAAGGTGCTGTCTGAAGATATTTGGTGAATTTCTGCAGTGCATCTTGTAGATAGCACACACTGCTGCTACTGAGCGTCAGTGGTGGAAGAAATGGATGACTCTGGATGTAGTGCCAATCAAGTGGGCTGCTTAATCCTGGATAGTGTCAAGCTTCTCGAGTGTTATTGGGGCTGTACTCATCCAAGCAAGTGGGGAGTATTCCATCACCCTCCTGACTTGTGTCTTGTAGATGGCAGACAGGATTTGGGAAATCAGGAGGTGAGTTACTCGCCACAGTTTTCCTAGCCTCTGACCTGCTGTTGTATCCACTATGTTTATGTGGTGAATCTAGTTGACCTTCTGGTAAGTAGTAACCCACAGGATGTTGATAGTGGGGATTCAGTGATGGCAACACCATTGAATGTCAAGGGGCAGTGTTTAGGTAGTCTCTTATGGGTGATGGTCTTGGCCTGGCATTTATGTGGTGCGAATGTTACTTGCCACTTGTCAGCCCAAGCCTGGATATTGTCCAGATCTTGTTGCATTTCAACGTGGACTGCTTCAGTATCTGAGGAGTCGCGAATGGTGCTGCACATTGTGCAATCATCAGCAAACATCCCCACTTCTGACGTTATGATGGAGGGAAGGTCACTGATGAAGCAGCTGAAGATGCAGTTAGCAAATACTATTCAATCACAAAATCACAGCTAATTGTTACATTATAAACATATGAATTAGGAGTTCGTCATTCAGCACTAGACTCTGTTAGTGTTCCACTACCTTGTATAATAAGAATCTACCCACCTCTGCTTTAAAATTATTCAAGAACTCTGCTTGCAGAATGAGTTCCAAAAATCCAACACCCTCAGAGAGAAATAAGAATCACTTCATCTCTGTTTTAAAACAGAAATTGCTGGAAAATCTCAGCAGATCTGGCGGCATTTGTGGAGAGAAATCTGAGTTAACGTTTTTGGTCCAGTGACTCTTCCTCAGAACTGACCAATAACCAATAACCTCTAGTTTTAGATTTTCCCATACGAGGGAATATTCTCTCTAAGCTTATCCTGCCCAGGCTGCTCAGGGTTTTATATGCTTCAACTAAATCATCTTTTACTCCGGTAAACTCCAGCGGATACCAGCCCAGCTTATCTAACCTTTCCTCATAAAACAAACTGCCATTCCAGGAATTAATCTAATAAAGTTCTCTGAACTGGCTCCAACACATCTACATCCTTCCTTTACGAGGTGTGAATAATATCATTCACACTGTGTTTGACAGTGTTTTAGGTTTTGCATAGTCTGACTGGGTGTGATTAGTACCTTGCCTATTGTGAACGACTGAAGGGACACACTGTCTCATGTGATCTGTCTGACTTTGGGACATTCAGCCCACACCGGCACTGATACTCACACACCACACTACTCATTTGTTAGGTGAGCAGGAGATCTTTTTGACTTGATGGCAGCACCCTAAGCAGCAAACAGCACTTGTGTTACTGGTGCACAGCAGCAGTATGAAACTGCTGGTTGCTTAAATTCCTGAGATATCTTACCCTTCCAGAATGACCTGAAGTCACATGGGCACTTTTCAAATCTGAGCATGACAAACTCTTTCTGGGACATGGGTGTCATTGGGCTGGTCCAGCATTTATTGCCCATCCCCAAGTAGTCTTGAAAAGGAGGGATGTGGTACCACTGGAGATGGTGCAGAAATTTACCAGGATGTTGTCTAGGGTGGAGGGTTTTGGTTATGAAGACAGTGGACAGACTGGAGTTGTTTTCATTACAGCAGACAGGATTGAGAGGCAGCAAGACTGAAAAGTATAAAAATATGAGTGGCATAGATAGAGTATACAGGAGGAACTTTTCCCCTTGATGGAAGGATCAATGACCAGTAGGTACAGATTTAAGGCAAGGCGCAGAAGGTTTAGAGGATTTGAGACAGAAAATTTTTTCTCCCAGAGCGGGTAGGAATCGCTGCCTATAAGAGTCGTGCAGGTAGAAACGCTCATAACATGGGCCAAAGGGCTGTTTTCTTTGCTTTAGATTTCAATGACTATGACTCAATTGGTGCATTTTCCAGCTATACAAAATCCTAGTTCAGCCACATCTGGAGTATTGCATCCAGTTCTGGTCGCCCCATTACAGGAAAGATGTGGAACCGTTGGAAAAGGTGCAGAGAAGATTTACCAAGATGTTGCCTGGAATGGAGGGAAGGTCTTACGAGGAAAGGTTGAGAGAGCTAGGGCTTTTCTCTTTAGAACGATGAAGGATGAGAGGTGACTTGATAGAGGTGTACAAAATGATCAGAGACATAGATAGAGTGGACAGCCAGAGACTTTTTCTGAGGATGGAGGTAGCTATTACGAGGGGGCATAGTTTTAAAGTGAGTGGAGGTAGATATAGGGGAGACGTCAGAGGTAAGTTCTTTACTCAGAGAGTGGTCGGGACGTGGAATGCATTGCCGGAGAGGGTAGTGGAGTCAGTGTCATTAGGGGCATTTAAGCAGCTATTAGATAGGCATATGGATGATAGTATAAGGTAGGGGTGGAGGTTAGATAGATCTTAGGATTAGGGTAAAAGTTCGGCACAACATTGTGGGCCGAAGGGCCTGTACCGTGCTGGACTGTTCTATGTTCTATAATGTGACACTTACAGGGCAATCTTCACATAACAGCTGTAATTTTATCACAACTGATTTTTCACAAAATCATCCACAGATATTTTCAAAACTCAATGTCATTTACGTTTCAGCAAAATCTTGAAGTCATTGAAGTGTATTTAAATAGTACCTCATCAGACAAGTTTAAATATTCAAGCCAACAAGTATTAAACATAATTTTTGCAATCAGTTGTACCTTTTGGATAGTTTGTCACCTCAAATTTATGATAGTATATTTTCATCAATCTCAAGTATAAAAATACACTGTATTGGAAATATGTCCATACGTACCTAATAAGAATAAATTTTATCTCAAAGGCCGGTGAATAGTCTTCAAATTGAATTATTCGTTCAAACAGACGTGGTGTGATAAAGTTAGCTGCTGTTATAACAATAGATGGCAGGTACTCAACTACTAGATCGGATGTGAAGGCTTCAACATGACCTGCCTAATAAAATCAAATCAATCACATTTAGGCTATATCACACAATTTAGAGTGTAAAATGTAAATAAACTAAGCAAACAATAGAATAAAAACCAAAAGAACTGTGGATGCTATAAATCAGGAACAAAAATAAAGTTGCTGGAAAAGCTCAGCAGGTCTGGCAGCATCTGTGAAGGAGAAAACAGAGTTAATGTTTCAGGTCCGATGACCCTTCCTCAGAACTGACAGTGGCTGGGAAAACATCAGTTTATATGCAGAAAATAGGGAGGGGGGTGGGGTAGGGAGTAAACAATAGGATAGAGCCCAAAGAGAGAGAAAGACAGTTGGACAGACAAAGGAGTTGCTAACGATCAGGCTGGGAGGGTGAATAGTTGTTAATGGGGACTGATAGTGACTAACAACAGGGGGTGTGTAATGGCAGGCTATGTGGTAATAAAGCCTGGTGTGTGGGATGGAGGGCTGGGACAGGGGAGAGTTTAGGCCCTAAAATTATTGAACTCAATATTGAGTCCGGAGGGCTGTAGGGTCCCCAAGCGGAAAATGAGGTGTTGTTCCTCCACCTTGTGTTGGGCTTCACTGGAACACTGTAGCAAGCCAGAGACAGAGATGTTGGCCAGGGAGCAGGGTGGTGCATTGAAGTGGCAGGCAACAGGTAATTCAGGGTCTTTTTTGTGAGTAGAAGGTAGATGTTGTGCAAAGCGGTCGCCAAGTCAACAATAGAATATATGGGGCTGGCTGGTGGTTAAACGTAGTCTGTACTTTTTACACCCACAGAAAGCGGTCGGCCCGGATGGAATCCCTGGGCGTGCACTCAGATCCTGTACAGACCAGCTGGTGGGAGTATTCGCAGACATCTTTAACTTCTCCTTATTGCGATTTGAAGACCCCCATGTTTCATGAAGACCGCCATCATCCTGGTGCCAAAAAAAATCATGCACTGTGCCTCAGTGACTACCACCCAGTAGCTCTGATCTCTATAATTATGAAGTGCTTAGAGCGGTTCCTCATGGCTCACATCAACTCCAGCCTACCACATTGCCTTGATCCTCTGCAATTCACCTACTGGTGCAAGAGCCCTACACTCATCGCTGGAACATCTAGATAACAAAGATACCTACGTCAGGCAACTACTTATTGACTACAATTTTGCCTTCAACACCACAGTTCCAAACAAACTCATCTCTAAACTCAGACCTAGGTCTTGACTGTCCCCTGTGTAACTGGATCCTCGATTTCCTGACCCACAGACCGCAATCAGTAAGAGTAGGCAACATCTCATCCACCATAATCCTCATCACCGGTGCCCAGCAAAGTTGTGTACTCAGTCCCCTACTATACTCCTTATAAACTCATGACAGTGTGGCCAAATTCTGCTCCAATTCCAATTACAAATTCACTGACACATTATCACTGTTGTAGGTCAGATCTCAACAATGAGACAGAATACAGGAAAGAGATTGTTTGTTCAGCAGCATGGTGTAAAGACAACCATCGCTCCATCAACACCGGCAAAATGAAGGAGCTGGTCATTGACTTCAAGAAGCAGAGTGGAGGGCACACCTGTGGAGGGCACACCCTGTCTACATGATGCTAAGGAGGAAATGGTCAACTGCATCAAGGTCCAGGGAGTGACGATCATCAACATTCTGACCTGGTCCACCCATGTTAAAGCGCCAGTCAAGAAAGCACAACATCTCTTCTTCCTCAGGAGGCGAAGGAAATTCGGCATATTCACAAGGATTCTTACTGATTTTATAGATGTGCCACGGAAAGTATCCCATCTGGATGCATCACAACGTGGTGGGGCAACTGCTTTTCCCAAGACAGCAAGAAACTGCAGAGTCGTCAACATAGCCTAGTCCATCACACAAACCAGCTTTCAATCCATTGACTCCATCTATCCTTCCTGCTGCTTCGGGAAAGCAGCATAATCAAAGATGGTTATACCTGGTTATACTCTCATCCATCCCGTTCCATCGAGCAGAAGATATAAAAGTTTGAAAACATGTACGAATAGGTTCAAGAACAGTTCTTCCCCACTGAAATCAGACTTTTGAAATACCGCTCAAATGTTAATTCTGATCTCTCTCTCTTTCTCTGTGCACCTTCTCTGCAACTGAACACTGTATTCTGCGATAGTAGGAACTGCAGATGCTGGAGAATCCAAGACAACAAGGTGCAGGGCTGGATGAACACAGCAGGCCAAGCAGCATCATAGGAGCAGAGAGGCTGACGTTTCGGGCCTAGACCCTTCATCAGAAAAGGGGGAGGGGAAGGGGGTTTTGAAATAAA